CAAAGTTCTCCTAGAAGATACAGTACCTTTGAGCCTGGAGGAAACAGTTTTGTAAATCATTAGTAGGACTTTATCCTCATTTTTATTTTGTTATTTTATAGTGTTTGGCATCATAAAACTAACTCAGCTTTAGATTGTCCACAGAATAAAAACATTCTCGTGACTTCTGTCTGCATGGACTTTTTCCTCTCAGTGCAGGAACTTTATAAACATATCAAGAGTCAACTTACTTGTGTCAAAATCCCCAAAACAGTATTTTTCTCATGGATAGGTTGTTAATTTTCTCTCTTTATTTTAACTTAATCTAACTGTCAAGGTCACATGATGCATTTTCTTGTCAGAATCAGAATCAGGATATGATTTATTGAATGAATTTCATGTGCATGGTGTTGTTAAGGTGCATAAAGTAAATTAGGAATAAAACAAAAAAATCAAAGAATTAAAAAAGAAAATTTCAGATATGAAATATATAGAAATAGAATGTCAAGATAAATTAAGTACAACACTATTTACTAAACAAGCTTAAAGTCAACTAGTTAAAAATTGCAGTTACACACTAGTAGTGTGGAAAAAAACAACAAGTAAATATCGCTTGTGCAGCTTGTCTCAAAGTTGCAACCTGCAAAAAAAATATTAGGGCTTACACATGAAACTACACTTCCACCTATACATTTATTTCCTCTTGACCCATTAAAGGCATACATACAAGTAAAACATGAATAAATGTTGCAAAGTAAATACAGATTTAGTGTTAAAATGTCTGATTTTTAAAGCCCAGATATGGTTTTGTAAAGCTCTTGCAAAAAAATGATTATTATTATGACAATTAATAAATGCACAACTGATTATTTGGTGAGAAATAAAAAAATTAAAATGCCAAAATTTGGCCACTAGATGGCAGTAGAAGACAAAAAGTAGTAAACCACCTCACTTATCTGAGGCTGGTGTGAATTCCAAAGAAAGCCTCACAGTAGGTTAGTTTACTGAGTGACCACGTTTAGAAAGATTCCACTTTAAATGAATGTGTTGTGTATTCAGATGGCTAGGATAAAGAGATTAGGCCTGTTTTAATAGACATGCATCAGTGATCTCAAGCAAATAAAGATGTTTTTTTKTTTGTTTGTTTTAAGCAAAGCGTTCATTTCGAGCAAATGTACCTCACTGGCTGATCACGAGATGACCCAACGCCTGTGCGTGCATTTCAGTTTATATCCGTCCATCTCGTCCGTTTCAAATTGATTCCCTCTAATTCCATTACAAGCTGCTAAACCTGCATCTGCCATCGTCCGCGCATAAAACTGTAATTGACAATCTTCTCCACTGTCGTCAAATTAGTGAAGATTAAATGCAACGTGGAGGCGCGTATCAGGCAGACCATAATTATGAACTGTTTACGGCGCCAAAAGGGGGATGAGGGTGGGCCCACGTTGGTTAATGGGGTTGTTTATTGTGTTGCAGCGGGTGGGGGGGCCTCCGTGTTTCCGGTGCATCAATCCTGGTGTCAGAGCCTGGGCCCCGGTGTCGCCCAGGAGTGATGGCCGCCCTGTGATTATAACGGAATAAAGGGACGTAATGAAGTGCTTTCCGCCCCGTTATTCTCATATGCCCGACTGCTGTCAGACACCTCCACGCTGCCTCGGCTCTCCACTTCTTCTCCTCCCACCTCAGCATCCCCACCTCTCCCCCAACCGTGTCACTGTTCTCTCCTTTCAATACACTCTTCTTCACGAGATTCATGTAAAGTTGGAATGCTCTAAAAAGACTTTCTACCTCTGCTGCCTTCATGTTCCCTGCATGCTATGCTCAGGCTAATATTATGTCATTTCAATATTTGATTTGTGCACACGGATACAACCTCTATGTGTGCACGAGAGAGTGGGGAAGAGAGAGAGACTAATGGAACAGGTTGGTGGTGATTAATTTTCGAAATAGAGAGTTGATTGTAGTAATTAAACAAAACAAGGTAAAGCAAACGACTGAGGCRCCATCTGGGCCCGCAGGCTGGGAGCACAGGCATTTACCCACTGCCAAGCCCACCATTTATTTACCCTTATAAAGATGCTAGGGGACCGGCTGAGGCTCCCCAGCTTGTTTGTGTATGGATGTGTGTATGAAGGGGAACGATTTGTGGATGATATTTGGTTTGGTCTCTTGTGTGGCAATATGGGAGGGAGTAAAAAAAAACGTTTCTACGTATTTGCATCTATGAAAGTTGAGACATCCATCGCTTGTCAAGCTGCTGATGATCTTTTTCTGCTTTGGTGGATAAAACATTCGGGGGATAGAGAGTGACTGTGCAGAGGTGCATAGCARATACTGATGGGACTTGATTAATTAAAACACACATGTATGTCTAAGATGTATACACATGTCGGCGCCATTTCAAAGTGCTTTCTATTCAGTCTCACACAAGTGGCCTTCTACYCACACGAGCACATGGCTCTCTCTCAGCCTCTGTGTTATTTTTGAACTCAGTCAACCATCATCCTAATCTGGTCTCTTCATTTTGCCCGGCGCTTCTGAGAGAGAGAGAGCCGGGCGCATATGAAATTGCTTACATTATATGCTGCAATGTTTTTCCAATGGGCTGGAACATATTAAGCTGAAAATGAATAGCAGGTCTTCTCGACACCATGTTGCGCGGTGCCTAAGCCTTCACTTCCCCTTCTCCGAGTGCTCCATCATGGCGACAGCTGTCACTTTTATTGCCTGTGTATACGTCTCTTGCCTGTGAGCAGATACTGTGTTCGGGCCATATGTTTGAATGTTCCTGTGTTTATGTGACCGTGTGCTTTTCCTTTTTTTTTGTTTGTTTGCGCGTGCCATGTGCGATGGCCCTCCGTAAAAGGTCATGTGTTCAAACAAAAGATCACATCTGCCTGGCTCCGTGCTGGAAGGGAAACCATGCAGGTCTATTTGCTCTGGCTCGCTCGGACAAATCATGGAAGATGTTCAAATGATGCTCATACAGCTGATTATCATAAAAATGACATCTTTTATATACCCCAGAAGGTGTGTTGTGTGTGCGAAAGTGTGTGACTTTGTGTGTGTTCACATATGCATATTTATGCTTGAGTGTGCTTGCATATATAAGTGCATGTGTGCATGTGTGTGTGTGTCAGAGGGTGGCTCATTGGTATGCGCAGTGCCTCCGGGTCCCCTGTGGTGCTGGGTGGGATAGGAAGCATCTGTCACCTCTGCAGAGATCCAACATACTGCCGACTTAACCCTTAAAGTGCTGCATCACCTGAGGGCTGCTATCAGAGAGACGGAGTGGGAGAGAGACCCAGAATGAAAGCAAGGGGAGAGAGGGACGCGTTCCTATTGGCGGCCTCACCCAGGTGGGCGGGTCTTCTGTCTGATTTTATTTTATTTTTTCTCCCTGGACTGAAGGAGCGAGTGCAGACAGTAATGACCTATCCCAAACAGGAGGAGGAGCCTCATTGCAAGCCTGGATCAGTTATTGGACATAAAAGAATATTGCTGACACATTCCTGTCTCTCCCTTTCTCTCGCTCTACCCTCCTTTTTTTCTCTTAGTTTCTTTAATTGCACAGGTGTTTCTGTATCAGTGTCAAATAAAGATGACTAGTATAGAAAACTAAACCACGAATGAGAAAATGTGGCTTGAAAATCAAAGCTCTACTCCAGTGATGAGCATCTTTTTAGTTAGTTTAAAAAAAACTTGATGGAAAATGTGAGTTAAAAATAACTTTTTTTGACTTGCATCTGATCAAGCAAAAAAAA